GCTTGGAACCATGATCTGAATCAATGCTACAAACGTGTTCTGTTCACATAACTTTACAACACAAGGTTGATTTGGTACATACAATGAAAAGTTGCTTTGGTTAGAATCAGCAATTAAACCAGCATATTTTGGGAAAATCTAGTATTATCTTGTTATTTAAGGCTTGAGAAAAAGTTCATCTCCTCCCTCCAAATGAAACAAAAACAAAAACAGAACAACGAACAAACATTAAACTGACGCTGCAGAGAGGAATGGGATTTTGAAGGGCTTGTCTTATCTAGATTATTGGATTCATACAGCTGTAAACCCCTTGCTTAGCCAGGCTTGTGTAAATGGGATCAGTTCCTTGATCTGTCTGAAAGGGAATTTTTCAGCCTGTGACTAGAGCCAAATCCTACTTTTCTGCTCTTCTACTCCTAAAGATATTTATAATTTGTTTGTGATTTATTGAAATTTGTCTGGCTGTGGGAGAACTGCATCTTCTAAATTCACTTCACTGCCTACTCCATTCTATTTGGGAAACATTGTCTTCTTAAAAGATGTTTCTCTGGGAGCACATTCTCATCTGAAGTTTATGAAATAACATGCTCAATACAACACATAATTTATTCCACCATTTTCTTTACTAAGGCACACCGTGGGTGGTTGTGGGTGTACAAAGATGGCCACAAACCCCCTCATACATTTACTTCTGTTGGAGAACTGTGGTGGTGAACTTTGGTTAAAACTGTGGTCTTAGGAACCTAATTAACCTTAAAAATTAGTGGTGCTAAAAGATATTTTCTAACCAAGTGAAATACTTTTCTGTCATATAATTAATATCCAAAAACAGCATAACATGATGATTCCAGCTATTTATTTTGGTCAGGGAATCTTTCTAAATACACATAAGACATTGGAGGGGGCCTGGGTGGCTCAGTCGGTTGAGTGACCGACTCTTGATTTTGGCTCAGGTCGTGATCTTGGGGTCTTGAGATCAAGTCCTGGGTGGGACTCCACACTCAGGGGGGTAGTCTGCTTGAGATTCTTTCCCTCTGCTACTCCCCTGGTGGGAGTATCTGCCTACTCTCTCTTAAATAAGTAAATAAATCTTAAAAAAAAAAATACACATAAGACACCGAAATTTTGAGTATGTGTTAATTTACATCCATCCTATATATCCTCTATTGATCAGCCTTTCAGAGGCAAATAGGAGTGGATGATGCCTTTTCTAAAAACAAAAAAACAAAAAAACTCTTCTACCTACTTAAAAGCCCTTTTGTCTTCCTCATTTTTGTTTTCTCCTGGTCACCTTCTTTCTCACTTCAACTTCCTGCCATGTTTCTCTGTCAGAAGTCTGTTTATTTCTCTTTTTCAGGGGCCTGGAGATTGGTAACAGTAGTGCTAGCAGTAATGTTGAGTCCTGGGTCATGATTGTGACTAGGCTAACAGTAGGGAGGAGAGATGAGAGCAGCTTTACAACTTGACTGGTTATTTTTGAGTTGCACCAATGGGAGGCATCAAAGAAATAGAACATATTTTATTCTGCTTAATATGCTTCAATGGAGGGCATCCTAATTTTACATGTCATGGGAGAAGGCATATATCTCCAATTCTTTCCCAATGGGCATGTCAGTAAAATAGGAATGCATAAACATTTGAGACACTGGGACTGTTATTACAGGGCCTACTTGAGTTATAGGGCATTATAGTGGATTTAACAGTGCTTATGATGCTATAGCAGATGAAGACTGATTTCTTGTGATTAAGATTCTATTAGGGTCCTATTGCTATTGTACCATATTACCACAAACTCTGGGTCTTGAACAACACAAATATATTAATTATAGCTTTAACGGTCAGAAGTTCTAAAATCAAAGGGTTAGTAAGGCTACATTCCTTCTGGAGGTTCCAGGGGAGAATTTGTTCCTTGACTTTTTCAGCTTGTAGGGACTTCCCATATTCTTTTGCTTCCATCTTTGAAGCTAGTATTCATATCACTCTGACCTCTGCTTCTGTGGTCACATCTCCTCTTACTAAGAGACTCTGTCTCTTTCTTATAAGGACCCTGGTGGTTACACTGGGGCCACCCACATGGTAGAAGAAAACCTCCCCATCTCAAGATTCTTAACTTAATCACATCTGCAAATCCAAACATTCCCCATTTATAGGTTTTGCTAAATAGGATGTGGACATCTTTGGGGTCTCCTATTCTTCCAATCACATACCTATTCTGCAACCAGCTGCTTGCCTTTTCTTACTACTGATATAAGTCTTAGGCAAATCAGAGTCAGCTGGACTGCATCATTTTTAGTGCTATTTTTACTTTTTGAATCCTTTTCCACATAGGAACCAAAACAACAACTGTGCCCTGATGAATCTATAGAACAATATGGGTTTAGATCCCCAGAGCTTTCTTGATCCATGCTTTCTCTGGGCTTGATGCAGAAAATCTACTGGGTTTTGAAATATTAGTGCTAATGACTGGTACATTTCTGGGGTATTGTGCCCACCAAAGAAATAAAGCAAAATGAATCCTCTGATTAAAGACCCCAAATCCACAAAATTCCTACTCTGTCTACAAGGATCTGACAGTTCTGAAAGCTTGAAAGAGTTGTTAACCTTCTCATGGCCAATTTCCATAAAGCATGATAGAAGAACACTGCATCATCCAAATTAAATGTGTGACCTACTGTCAACATCAGTCAACACACAAAGTGGCCTTTCCATTGAAATTTCAAAAGAGCAGTGCCTTACCCCAAAGAAAGTTCTTCATTCTCTATCTCCATACTTTCATTAGAGAAGCTGGCATGGAGAGTGTGAGGGGGAAGATGAGCAATGAGGAAGATGAGATGACAGACACCAGGTGGTGATTTGTAAGATATATTATTTCCATCCTAAGGACAATAGAAAATATTGAAGGAATCAAGGTAGATGAGGAGAGGAGGACAAGGCAGAAGTCAAGGGTTATTGGTGGTATTTTGGCTTGGGGACATCGTATAGATGGCAACTCCATTTACTGACATGGGAAACAAAGGAAAAAGTAGGGTTTGGAGGTAAAATGCAGGTTAAATTGAATTGCTTATGAGACATCCAAGTAGAATTAGCAAACAGGCAGTTGGCTATATAGGTCTGAGCTTGGGAGAGAGGTTTGGGCTTACAATATGGATTTATTACTCATCAGTTTATGGATGGTAATTGAGAGCACCACTGGAAATTGTGTACAAAGTTAGAAGATGGCATAAGATAAAGACCTAAGGAGCACCAACATTTAGAGAACAGGCAGAGGAAAACACCTGCAAAAGAGACAAAGGAATGGTTAGAGAGGTAATTGGAAAATCAGAAAGAATTGACATATTTAAAAAATTTATACCTATTCCTTGGAAACATGTTTAATCACAATTAAATGTGACTTGAAAATTGTTTCCTTATATATAAAATGGGGCCAATAATTCCTTACCGGCATCACAGGGTTATGAGGTTCAAATGAGAAAACCTATTTGAAACAATTTTGTCAAGTGTCACACCAGTGGTTCTCAAGCTTAAGTTCGCATCAAAACCATCAGGAGGACTCCTTACAACACACATCTCTGTTTTTGAATCATTAGTAGTAGTAGTTTCTGATTTAGTAGGTTTAGGGAGGGGTCCCAGAATTTGAATTTTGCATAAGCTCTCAGTTGATGTTGTCAGTCTGGGACCACCCTTTGAGACTACTGTATAACACAACTGTAAGGAATTTTGCTTTTGCTTTTATAACACAATTCATTGTTTTCCTCCGATGTTGTGTCTGTTTCATCCCCTACTCCTTTTTCATTTCTGTATTCTCCATCAACAAATGAAACATTTTTACCCTGCTTCATACCTAGCAATATCTTTACATTGTGATGAGCTTAGTGCAGTATTTCCTTGATCGTTTACATTAATGAGCATCGACCTGACATTAGCTTAAGAAGGATAAGAAAAATATATGGTATTTCCCGTGGGGAGGAGGAGATAAGAAGGGACTTTTTTGGAGTAAAAGGTGAGATTTTTTTTTCAAAATCAATTAGATGTAAAATGCTACTTATTACCTACTTTCAAAAATCCCATTAGAGAACTTGTAATTTGATCCAGAGGGCGGAGAGTCAGGTAAGAGGAAAAATTGACCTCATTCTTCAGTCCTTTCCTAAATCCTGAGAAATGTGTGTACCTCCATGCTCCCTTTTTCAATCCCACAAAACGGGGAATCAGGAAAACGCATTAGCACCCTAGAACAGACTAGGAACACCGAGCGGGGAGGAGACTCAGCCCCATCAAGACAGAAGGAAACTGGGGGAGGGGAGAGAAAACTACCCCTAGTCGGACACTCTGCAGCGCGGCCGTGGGAAGAGAAGGGAAGTGGGGACATTTACCTCGGGCGTCATCAGACACTTCGCCTCGGGGCATGTGGGAATGTGAGGGAGGAGGGGGAAAGGTTGCACCACAGCGAGATCGCAACAGCTCCCGCTGCTGCTTTTGAGTGAAGATTTGGAGAGCTAGAGCTTTCTGCTTCACTTCTTCCCTCCTGGAGGCCATTTCTCCATATTTAACAGGGATAAAGAGGGGGCTTGAGCCGCGTCAGTATAAGCCAGAGTTACCGCCTTCCCCACAGTGGACCCCGCTTCAGCCCCTGGCCCGGGCGGGAGATGTGGCCTTAGGGGACGCTGAAGTTACTCCGTGGAGGGGGAGGGGTCGCCAGGCTCCCCTCCAATCACGGTGGCCGTTTCCGCTATTTGCATGTATTATGCTAATGCAGACCTCCCGCTCAGCTCCCTCCCGAGCTCTCCGCCCCCTTGGAGGGTCTCCGGCGGAGCCCGCGGGCAGGGCGAAGGTGAATACATTATGCTAATGAGGCGGGCTTCTGCCGGGGCTTTGGAAGGGGGGCGCAATGCTGCCGGAGCCCAGGGCTGGAGGCCGGGCGCCGGAAGGGGGGTCGGGGGAGGGACTTCGCGCTCGGAGCGCGCGCGCACTCACACACACTCACACACGAGCATCTCGAAGGGTATTTAAGGCTCGCACCCGCGAGGCTGCGGAGATACTTCGGGCAGCCGCGACTTAAGCCTGGCCACTCGAATTTGCTCTTTGGGTTATTTCGTTTTCCTCTCTCCCTTCTCCCCCTTTTAGCATCCCTTTTGCGCTGCGCTCTCGCGGTCTCTCTCAGCCTTTCTGCCTGGAACTGAATCTAGGTGGCAAACAGGTCGGCGTGCGGAAAAACACTGAATAGGTAGAAATAAGGCAAACTAACAGAGACGCAACAGGTCGGGTGCTCGGTGGCGAGGGCGAGCGGCGGCCCCTCGCTGCGCCTCTCGCGCTGTTCCTCGGACCCTGGGCGGCAGCTCTCGAGGACCCCTTCCGAGGTGTCCGTCTTCTGAGGGGCCAGGAGGGCCAGCCGGGAGGGTTTCATTCCGGTTTTTACCTTTTTGCCACCAGTCCTCGGGACTGAGGGTGCTTTTCACTCCCAGCTGGGCGGAGAGAAGAAAGCGGAGAGGATGGTCCACGGCTGCTGGTCTCGGCGCTGAGGAAAGCGGAGCTCCATCTCCGCGCCCCGGCTCCATCTCCGCCAAATAGTTGTGCAGCCACCCAGACTGAACTTTGGAGGAATCGTCCCCTTTCTTTCCTTTCAAGATTCTTGGAAGTGGTAGAGAGTGGGAGGCGAAGCCGAGGCAACTGATCCCTCCACGATGCTGGTGAAGAAGCATGCAGGGAAAGGTGGGGGTCGGGAACCAGGCTCTGAGGACCAGAGCCCCGCCGGGCAGCGTTGTGCCTGGACCGTGCCCCCGTGCACCGCCCTGGCGGCCCTTCTGTCAGTGGTGGCTGTGATGTCTTGTCTGTACCTGGGGGTGAAAACCAACGACCTCCAGGCGAGGATCGCTGCTCTGGAATCCGCAAAAGGGGACCCTTCCATCCATTTGCTTCCCGATGGCCTGGATCAGCTCAAAGCAATGGTGCAAGAGAAAGTGGAGCGACTTCTGGCTCAGGTGTGAAAGGCTGGGGTATTTTGCACGTGGATAATATCTTGCACAGGCGTGATTCTGTGTACAGGACCAGCCTCTACCTTTACCGTATGCATACTTGGTGTGGCTGGGTGTGCATACGCTAGGCCACCTTCTGTGCTCACTTTGGCATATATTTGTATATGCACATCCTTTGATATCACCCTCTCTCTATCATCTTCCCTCACTCTTAACGTTTGCATGCTGAACATATAGGAAGGACTGAAAGAGGAAAGGGTGGCCAGAATATCAGGGTGGCATTTTATCTTTTTAGTTTTCTAGAGTGACATAAGAATCTTTTCCAATCTTGTGGAGAATATTCCTTCCAGTGATAACATCTGTTATGTCCTTCATACGTTATAAGAAGGTTAGGGCCATAGGTGTGATTAATACACAAATGGTAATCACTCTTTAAAGTGAAATAACCCTATATGTGATTTTTAGATTGATCATTTCCCACATTAAATGTTTTTGTTTTCAATGTTTAAAAAGAAAAAAAAAACTGCAGCTTAATTTTTTATAAAGGATGCAGTGGTAGGGGTGTTCATGAATGCAGAGCCATTGCAGTTGAAAGGAATCTAGGTTACATTTATCACAACCAGGGAGGGCATTAGACTAGAGTTAGGGGGTTTTCTGGAACTTGCCCTTCCAACAGAGAGGCTGTTTGGCAGTGGTTGCAGCACAACGTGATGAGCAGTTGACCTTCATGTATAAGATAGTGGCTGTTTTAAAGCCCATAGCTTACCTAAAACTACAACATGTTAAAGCCAGGTTTTTGCATTGACTGCATATGCTTGAGCTGAGGGAGAAAGAGGAGGGTGGTGGTGGTTGAAGAATGGAGGAAGATATTGTACAAGTCTAGCAGTCTTTATACGGTGTCAGTAGTCATTTCTTTTTTTAGGGCTTGGGTACTATTACCTTTTGACTAAAGTCCAAGTACATATGTAAATGTTAGTTATGCAGGCTCTCAAATGCTGGTAAATCAAGCATATGACCAGAGAGTTCCTGAAGAATCCATTTCTCTACCATGCTACTGATGATAATATCCTCTTCTTTTCCTACAGAAATCCTACGAACATATGGCTAAAATAAGAATTGCGAGAGAAGCACCTTCAGAGTGCAACTGCCCAGCAGGTAAAATGGAACTTATTTAACAAGGTTTCCTCCATAGCAGAGCAAAGTCCTGTATCTGTCAAGTCTACCTGTAATAATAGTAAAGAAAAAATGCAGGCCCAACTTACTTTAATAAAATCAGCATGTCTCAGTCAAAAGAATGGCAAACAAAGCCCCAAATATTATTTTAAGCAGCATACCAAGGCCTGTTATGGGAAGACAGAGGAGATAATCACCAAGGAAAATACAGGCAAGATGGCATACAAAGACAAAGTTCTTAGATTCACAGATTGAAAAATATTCTTCATTTTTATTCAGGTTTCATGTATGTGGTGAAAAGGACTGCAGAACATGTTAGATTCTGAATTCTCTGGTGGCCAATATTGCATTAGTACAGATTTCCATTTGTTCCCTTTGACATATGGTTATGTTAGTAAATTACCTTAACTTCCACACCTGCTTTTATTCTTTTCTATCAAAAATGTTCTCTCTCCTACTGTATAGCTAACGATGAGGGCTGAAAGGAAATTAGTTCTTTACCTTGAGCTTCTCATTTCAAACTATTGCATTCTTGATGACTTCTCAGAAAAGGCTGTTATATCTTTTCATTTTTCTGTGTAGTGTTAGGAAACTGTATTAATGACAGCATATTAATAGAAGGATGGAGAAGAGAGACATCAATGAATAAAAACCCCTGTGTAATCATTAAATCTACATTCACAGACCTCTGAGGCTTGGTAGTCAGTCAACTGTAGATCTAACAGTTTAGGAGCCATTGAATGTGTCCACTGAAAAACATCTAGTAGATTCAACTGATGTAAGCCATGAAAATCTCCCATGAGTCTTTTTTTTTTCTCCCATGAGTCTTGAGATTTTTATTTCAGATAAATGTCGTTAATGCATTTATGAGCATTTTCATTTCTTCCATCATCACTTATAGAAAAATGAGTCTGTTATATTTTCTTTAATGTTCAGGAACATGATACCTAAGATACTTATATGTGGAAAGGCTAGATCCTGTATATTTACATATTCTGAGGTGTTTTTTTTCCTTTTTTCTCATGGTAACTTATTTTGATACAGCTAAGCTAGGCACCATGTTTAGAAGTTTCAAATGTCAACTCCTGGTTGTGTATCATAAAAATTTTATTATTTATGTTCTGCTACATTGTTGACCATAATGGAGCTGTATATATATATTTTTTTAAGGAAGCCCTTTCAATTGAGAAGACATATACATTAGATAACAAGAAAGCAAAGAGTTAATGTTTGACATTGTAGGTTTCATTTTTGGTTGTTTTAAGTTGGGAAAGACCTCAGAAGTTAGAAATTCAAGGAAGGCACTTTTCTAGTGCAGGAATTAACTTCCAACAACCTCATCAGCCTGTAGGGATTATTTAAATTCCCAAGACAGTTGGTACAGGACTTCACTGATCTTACCACTTAGAGTCCAGAATTTTCTGTATACAGTATTCTTGTTAGCTATTTGAAAAGTACCTACTGTTGGATTAATAGGATTCTTAGTGAACTTGGTAAAAAGTAGAAAAGTGACAACCACAGCACTGAGTTGTTTTTTGTGGTTAAATCTGCTTCATGATGTTTGATGTAAGTTAGTTGTTGAGGTCTAATTTGTAATCTGGAGGAAAGCCATTATAGTTAGAGCTTACCTTATATTATGTTGGAATATCATTTTGAACCATTTTCTTCTTAACATATTAGTTTAATAATAAGTGGTGATTTTACCATAATAACACATAAATAAATGATAAGTGGTGATTTCCTTGGCTTTTTGTTGGCTCTCACTAATGGCTGCTTTACTTTCTTGCCACCACTAGAGCTCCACATTACATCAGTTTTCACCAGGTTACTTGCAAGGTAAACATTTGAAGGTGCACATTCTAATCTGTAAAATCAAACAGGTTTCCTGCTGACAAATCATTATTATAGATACACTTTTTTTCTGCTTGTGGAATAAGTAGACATCATCAAAATAAAGGCATTATGTTGAAAATAGTACCCTGGGGGAAAACTAGTTATTTTGAATTATGGTCGGTGAGGTATTGTCTTAGGGAATGAATGCCTGGCCAAGCGGATTAGAAAGGAGATACAGAGCTTCCCACCTGGTTTGGCTTTAACCCTGGTTTGCAGTGACTAAGAGTTGTCACCCAGACATCTGTTTGTAGGGCAGAGTGAGACAAGTCTGTGACCTCAGCTCAGTTCCTGTGGACAGATGCCCACCCCTTGAAGTTGACACTCTTGTTGACAGTCTCCATCAGAGAGCCAAGGACTGATAACAAAGGACTAATGCTGTGTTGTTTGTGTTCACTTTAATTGCTTTTGATAGAACTCAGTCCCAGTGAGGTTTATCCAGGTAGGCTACGAGGAAGTCATAGAATTTATAGATTTTTTTCTTTTTTTAACACAGGAAGGAACTTTTGTGGGAGAGGGATGGGAAAGACTATTATTGAATGGTTTCTAAGTATAAGGGAAGGACTTTCATTTACTCTTCCCAACAACCTTGGAAGTTAGGTATTAGTAATCTCATATTTACAGATGAAGAAACTGGACTCAGAGAAGATGACTGACTTAGCATAGTAAAGGCAGGGTCAGGATTCATGCCCACATCTGACAAAATCAAAAGCACAAAGTCTAATGAGCAATAGAGAATGAATATAGGTTTTGGAGCTGGACAGATTGGAATCCTGGGTTTATTACTAAATAACCATGGGGCCGTGGTCAAACTTCTCATGTTCCAGGTTCCTCATCTGCAAAAACGTGGATCATACTACCTTCCTCAGAGACTGATAATTTACCTAAAATGTGGCTTCTTTGTGGTTATTCATTAGATGATAGCAGTTATTATTCTTTTTAATATATTGTATACTACTTAACTCTAATCTGGTCCATGGAGACACATGATATAGGTGGGAAAACTGAGCCCTGGAAATGTATATAGCTTACTCAAAACCCAATGGCTAGTTAATGGCAGGTTTTGGATGAGAATGCTATGCTTAATTAAGCAAATATATCTGTAGATCATTCATGCAGATAATCAAATGAGTCAGTATCTCTTAGTGCTACATCAATGGAGATTGGTTCTTTGCACATATTTATATTAGTCTACTAAATTATTTTTACCAAATTTGAAGGAAAAACTTTTGACCTTGTAGGTAAACCATGATTGGAGTAGATAGAATTTGTGCTTAAAAGAGTATGAGGATATGTCTCTACAGCTTTGATACCAAATGTTTTCTAAAAGAAGTGCTTCAACTGTCTGACTCATTTTCACACTTACTTTTTTAACAGCTTTATTAAAGTATAATTTATGATATTTACCCATTTTAAGTGTCTGAATTAAAAAAATTTTAAAAGATAAATTTATGGAGTTGGGCAACCGTCACTATAATCTAATTTTAAATCACCTTCGTTGCTCCCTGAACATTTACATTTACTTTTTTCATGGGCTCAGGGGAAGCTCTATTTTTTGAATCTTTGCTTTAAAGAAACCCTAAGATAAAATTTAAAAAGCCATACAAAGTGAAGCTCTGCTTAGCATAATATTTGAGTTAGTAGTAGCTGAACCATAGAAATTCAGCTGGCATCTGTGGCTTAGCCTCTGTAAAACTTAACACTCATAGGAGAGAATAAATTGGCTGTTTGCTATGGCTATAGAATCCTGTTTTGGGTTTTGTTCTTGGAGTCCTACATAAAGTATGTATAAACCAGGCATATTTATAGGAGGGTCTCTATGTTCCAACTGGTAAAGAACACTGGGAGGCAGGCAGCCAACCAAAAGATGTTTAGATCAGAAATATTTCTGTACCCTACTCATCAGTAGTAGTGTTGTTTGCCCAGGATATTAGATATAAGAACCTCTATGTCGTAATGGACAGAGAATGTGGATGGACAATAAAGAATCCAGTTATAATCCTGGCTTTGTCATTAACATGTTATACAATCTTGGGCAAATCATTTCCAAGAATGACTTTTATAGACTCCATTTTCATAGCCCCAGAATAGGAGTGTTGGACTAGAATGATTTTCAAGTGCATTTGTTGCTTCTCTAGGTATGAAGAGCCTGCTGTGTGCCAAATGTTATGCTTGATACTGGGAATATGCTGATGAACCAGACACACTTGGGGTCTGCCTTCATGGAGCTTACATTTCAATAAGGATGACAGGCAGACGTTTATTTTTATGTGACATGAATTTACAGTCATGACAGGTGTGACCAACAAAAAGAACTGTGTGCTTTGGAGCACATGCCCACAATTTCTTTCATGTACATCCTAAGGACTTTTTTGTTCTGTTCTTTTCTGGGGTGAGGGGTAGGTGGGCGGAGAAATTCACAGTAGGAGAAATCATAATATAAGAAAATCTGGCTTTTGATTACAAATAAAAGCTCTAGCAATGGATAAAAACTGCTTTGCATAACCTCACCTGGCTTTTGGCTTTCCAAGAACTTACAGTCAGATGAAGGTTCACTGATACCTGATTTACCTATGCTGATACTTAACTTTTCAAGTCTTGTGGTAAATAGGATGGTGATTTATTCTTCTACATTTTTTTTCTGAAAACAGCGATATTTGGGTTGAATAAGAGTCAAAACTTCCTGCCTGGTGGTACCTTCCTGCCTGAACAGTGCCCCTGGACCTGGCTCCTTTCCATTCACTGATAATGATGAAATGGAGCACAGCTAGTCATCTGCTTGGAGAGTTTGGCTAGAGATAATAAAAATATACTAAATAACTTTTGAGGTCCTTACACCCCCTGCAAGTCTATGAAAATGATTGTATACAAAAAAAGAGTAAATGTAGGCAAGTAAAAGTACCTCTGACTCATGTATGTGAGTGATAGAAACTCCAGTGCCTGGCTTTGTGGCATCTTCTCAATTTTTGGCAGAAACAAATGTTAATTGTAGCTTTAAGGTTGTGCACCTTTTCCCATCGTATGAGAAGACCTTTATATTATCTTGCTAACAGAACTTTACTTTATCCTATAAAACTTGTATTTCCCACAAC